TGAATGTACATCAACCAGTGTTCGAAATTTGTGTTCTCGGCGTTCTCATGAAAACATGATAACACACAAGTTGCAAATTTTAAATAGTGAGAACATTTTGAGAACTGGAAATTACATGCGAGAATATGAAATGAGAACACAAAATTGAAATGAGATTTCAAACACTGACATCAACCAATGATATTAGGTTTATAGTCTACAGTTTAAATAACGTTAACGTTAATGTTTAAAATTTTTCCTCTCACCGAACTTGAATTTAAAAAAGGAACGTTAAAAGAATCAATAAATTCAAATGGCCTTACAAATGGGAAGTTAGAAGCGAGAATAATTGATACCACAGCCAAAGGAGAAATTATGTAAAATTAAACAGTATGCCACAAATGTACCCCTCAAACCGTAATGCATAAATTAGCGATAATATTAATAACATTTAATGGTAATTTTTTATAATGTTAATAATTTATCTATCTATCATACAGTATTAATTTTATTAATTATTACCAAAGGTCTTTAAACGGATTTTCCTCAAGATAATACCTATTTAATGAAATGTTACTATATAAAGGCAAGAGGATTTCGGAGGTTCCGAATTTTGAATTGAACATATTAGTTATTGAATGTTTTTTTTAGAGCATTTTTTGTAGCAAATATTCAACTTTTAATTTTCATTTATTGAATTTAATATCTCTTTTGCGATATATTAAACTTAGTACTTAAATTGAAAAAGGTAATTTTGATTTTTTAATATAATTTATATGATAAATACTAAATACTAAATTTATTGATTAAATCTGTCAAAATTATAATTGTTAGGCGAAACTGTTTCACGTAAATGACGAAAGACGAAACCTAAACCAAGAAAAGACGAAAGACGATAGAAATCTCGAAATTTTAATTTAAGATGACAAATATTACGTAATATTTTGAGGGGGGGTATTCGATATCTTAAGTTAGGCATATAAATTTATAATAGCCAATTAAATTTCTTTTATGTGGGGGAGGGGGAGAGGATATAGTAAAAAAATATTACGTAATATTTGTATTACCCATTAGTGAACGAAAACTTTTCTTTTTTTTATGATGATATATTGTACATGTTGTGCCTCAGATGCATTCTTGCATCGAATTACAATTCATACAGGAAGGTCCGCAAATTCATGGTAGGTTGAACAAATTTTGCCTAAAATCACTCAAATTTACTAATGAGTTACATTGGTAAATTACCAAGTAAATTACAAGAAGTTAAATCCCTAGGTCTAGTAACTAAAAATTTATAAATTACAGTAATTTTCTAATCCTGCTAATGAAGTTATAGACCACTCAATATAAAAAATGCGCCTGATAATATTATTATAACTTAGGCATTGCTAAGTGGTATAGAATAATGCTGACCAACCAAACATAACTCTGATAGATTTCGACCCAGAATTCTCTAAAACGATATTTTTCATAATCCCTGATCTGAGGTCTAAGAATACATCTGAGGCACAACATAATTTATATATAGGTCTTTAAAAGTAAAAACCAGGGAATTTGACATTTTTTTGAAAATTAACCTGTTTGATAGGTCAGATATAATATTTAATGCTAAATATTTTTTACTTAATATTGAAAGTCTAATTAATTAATAAATTTTTGAGATATGACGGTTAAAAGTTTTTGATACTATAATTTAAAAATAGATTTTCGTGCAAATGTTGGCACGTATTTTATTTTAGAAGCAATCTATAGATCCAATAATCCTGTTTAAACAAGTTTACTTAACTAGGTTAATCTTGAATAGACTATTTTTAGATTGGGTTAATTTTGTGTAACAAAACCGTTTTTGCCGAATATCTCAAAACTCGTGATCGGCCAAATTCCCTGGTTTCTACTTTTGAGAGCCCATATTAATAAAAATAATTTTTTATTAATTTTATTATTTTATAAAAGTTTTTGTTATCTTTTAATTGTTTTAATTTTGTTAGTTTCGCCAACTTTTACTAGTTTCACCACCTTTCAGCAGTTTCACCACCTTTTATTGGTTTCGTCAGTTTCGACAATTTCGCCATTTCAACATTTCAAAATTTTTTTGACGAAAGACGAAACTAGGTTTCGCCTTTCGTCATGGCGAAACCTCTTAGGTTTCGACTAACAACTATAGTCAAGGTATTCTAGACTTGACTCTAGAGGTATAATATCAGTCAGATGACATAAATGAAAACTGTAACAGATTACGAACATGCTGTCAGAGAAATGATTGTATAAAAAATTTAGAGAATAAACGTGTTAAAAATGTTTTTTTTTTAAAAAAAAATATATGGGTTCTTTTACAGCAAAACAATGCTTATAGATATATAATTTTTGAACTTAGACTTGATCAAGAGACATCATTTTGATCATATGAATTTTATCTATGGTAAATAGAAATAACATAAAAAATTATGGTATAAGGCCACGCAAAGTCAAATTTTCAGTTTTGCATTACTGCATTACATGAAAATTCTAAAAACTCGACCGGCGGGCTAATTTTTTTTTATAAATGTTGCCAGACCTCGGGCTTACGATTTTTATTTGTTGCCGACATGTTTTAGTCTGAGTTTTAGTCCGGTAAATCATAAATATAAAAGCCCAAAGTCAGATTTTCCCTTGGTGTCCTATCGGATAGTTCCGGAAAATTAAGGTCAGCATCGGGTAACACTGGATAAAAATAAACAGTAGAAAAAAAAAAATAGGTTTTGAAAAATTTGGGGCAAATGCAAAACGAAAAATCTACTACGTATGTACATACGTAAAATATATCTTTTATTTTTATTATTATTTATTATTAGTTATTATTATTTAATTTAATGAAATGCCGATTATTCGGACGTTTTAAATGATTGTCAGTGTATTTTTTAACAACCAATCGAAACGAATTTTCTGATACGCTAACCTATTTAACGTTAAATAGGTTTTGCCACTCAATTTAATGGTACGTATGACAACTAATCAGATAATAATTAAAAATCATGTTATTCATTATTAGAAGCAAAAATATTCGAAAAACGGAACAGTAACTTGCAGTTCTACGACGAATTGAAAAGTGAGGTCGAATTTCTGAGTTTAGAATTTTATGATTTAAAATTTATTTGTATTCCGAAAATTCGACTCTAACATCTAGACACGAGTACCGTATTATTATTATCAAACATATTATTATTATCAAACATATATTTATAGCATGCATATATTGTGAATACAATGGTAAACTCGGGTTAGTCATGTGACTGCAATTTTGCCGCAAATTTACTAACGCTACGTACGTACGTAAAGTTTTTTATTATTTATGGTAATATAGGATAGTGATTAGCATTATGTATTTCCCGGTTAATCATTTATTTATAATCAAATTATCCTTTTTTTAAAGATACAATACGTAGAAAAATAATAAATAATCATAAATATAGATACAATTTACATTAAAGGATATTTTTTTTTTTTTTTAAAAAAAAAAAAATAGATGGCAAAAGTTTACGGATCCTCCATTGTCAAAAAAATTCGGAAATCAAATACCTTTTATATGATCTAAAGTTTCGCTTGCGCATATATAGATAAGTGTATTAATGTTGTGAATCATGTGCCTATATGCTATCACAAATATCACGTTATAAACAACAGCTATTTACCTTAAAACAGGGAATTAATATTAAACAATTCCGAAACTTAAATATCACAAAATGTTGAGACTACATATAAAATATTCAGTTATGATACATAAAGCATATCAGCTGAGATAACAATACTGTAATCAAAGCTTCTGGTGAAGTCTCTAAGAAAGTATGAACAGAACCTATTCAGATAATACTCTTCAGAAAAATATTTAAATTACTCCTCCCTACATGCGAAGAAGGATATATAATGATAATTATAACGAATCTATTTAAAATCCCCTAAACAAGCTTAGTCACGTTTCCGGCGAGTTACCTTACTTGATATTTCCATGAGTTTTAATCTGTTAAATAATGACCCCCCCCCCCCCCCTTACAGCTCTCGCTCTCCCCTTAAAATAGTACAGATACATTTTCTAGAAATCAAATTAATAATTATATGAAAATTTTTTTAACCCTGACATTTTCATAATAAAAACTTAATGAATAATTCGTACATATGTATACGTAATATACCAGATACAGTACAGTACGCATAGTACGTACGTACGAACGTACGTTTACGTATATATTATCGTTATTAGTTATCGTTGTAATTAATTTAATGAATACTGTATCCAAATTTAACCTCTAAAAAAGTATTTTGAGGACAATTTGTGAAATTACGATAATGTATACAAAGAATGTATACAATGTATGCAAATTGAAAATTTACTTATCTAACCAAGTAAGGTGTAATTGGATAAATAAAGAAAAATTACCTGTTCATTCGATAAATGTATTGTTTTTTCAACTATTAGGAACTGGTAATACCATTTTAAATAATTAAAAAAAAACTATACTTTATAAAGTAAAAGATTCACAAATCTAAAGTAGGACCAAAATATATTAATGAATCTTTTGATTCGCATAGCCACATTAATCTGTCTGTTACTAGCATGGAAATTCTAAATTTAACATTAGAATTATTTATGTTATGTATTACAACATTTATAAAAGCATACATGATATATTTCTAAAAAATTTTCGCATAATTTATACGTATAGAATTTTTTTTTTAGTCTATTTTTTTTTTTACTTCTTTCCTCTCTCTCTTCATAACTTCCCCAAGCAAAATAAAATTTTATTTCAAATAAAGGAAAAAAAATTTTAAATGCGGTTTTAAAATTATAATCCCATTTACTTTTGTTTTTTTTTTTTGAAACATTACCATTCATTTTATATTCCTTAATAAGATCATTCATAAAAGTGTAGTTTTTTTTTAAAAAAAAATAAAAAATTACACAAAAATAATTCTTTTATAATTATCGTTATTAAATATTAATCAACAATAAAAAAGAAAATAACATTAAGATCATAATGTTTCAGAAAATGAAAAATTATAAAAAAAATACTCAAAAAAATATTGTTGACGTATCAAAAAAAGATAAAGGAATTATTTCTAGGAATGTAAGCTTAAGAAGAAGCTGGAGTGCAATAAGGAAACAAAAGAGGGATATTGAACAAATGGTTACTTTAAGTGAAGCCCATTTGATTATTCGTTTATGTGCTGGGGAAGTTTTATCACGAGGTTAGTTAAAAAAAAAAAAAATAAAAATAAAAATATGTGATTAATTTTGTTGTTATAATTCTTGTTAAAAAAAATTAAATCACGTTAAATTTTTTATAGGATTGGGTGAAGAGAATTTATTCTCACCTGTGGAAAATGAGGATAACCCTGATGAGGTCAGGTACCTTATCAATTGCCATCTACGTGATAATAAGACTGAATTCGAAGACGAACTTAAATTTCAAGATATTCGTAATGTAGTCTCCGGCATTAGGTGGACGCTTAGAAAATGTGTCACTAGTGTCGTATCATATAAGAATTATGAAAATTTTGTTCGTCTTGAAAGTGGTATGTACGTTAAAATATCTATAAAATTATTTTTATTAAAATTAATAATATTAATACTAAATTACATTAATTATAAATTATATATATATATATATAAAAGAATTACAATATGATGCACGTAAAGGCATATTCAATCAATTTATATCTAATCTCTCAAAACCAGCCCAATCAATTCTACTGGAATTATTTGAACTATTTTCACAAGTTATGACACAATCCCATATAAATAAAATCCCTCCTCAAAGAGTAATCAAATCAATAGCTCATTATATTATTGGTGATAAAGAACTTAAATTCGAGAATTTTAATGCTGCTTATACAAAATGGTTAAGATGTTCTAATGCATGTACTCATTTATTTCTCGCTTATTTAAGAGAAAGAGCTTGTTCTGCTAGTCTTCCACCTCGTTTAAATATTTTATTAGATAGTTACGTACAATTTCGTAAAAAATCAAGGCAATCTCCTGATTATCAACATCCATTAGCTGATATTACTATTGGTGATTTACAATTAGTTATTAGACCGAAAAAACGTCGTCAAAAGAATAATAATATTATATCATCACAAATTAATCCTATTAGAAATAGTGGTTTATCTCGACAATTTGATCCAACAAGAAATAGTGGATTATCTCGACAATTTGATCCAACAAGAAATAATAATAATATTATTAATCGACAAATTGATTCTATAACAAATAATAATAATAATAATGAAAGACAATCAACTTTATTAAATAATAGACAATCTAGTTCTACTGCTATTAATAATAGACAATCTAGTTCTACTGCTATTAATAATAGGCAAACTAGTTCTATATTATTAAAATCAATGTTAAAAAATGAACCTCATGAAAGTATTATTTCTAGAGGTTCATTAACAATTGCTGAAATGTTTCCAGATATTGCTGAATCGTTAAGTACATTAAGAAGAAAAACTGCTTATCAAAATTTGGAAAATATTATAGAAGATCAACAAATTGCCACACAAAATTGGGATGAATTACAAATTAAAGGATTTAATGTACTTTCTGAAGAAACTTTAAAATTATTCTTCTCTTATGATGATAGAAGTTCAAATCCTGGTGCTAGTATAGTACGTAGACGTAGTAGAAAATTTAATAAGAAAACTTTTGATGAAAAATTTTTAGAAATGATTCCAAATATTGAAATTGATAATGAAACATTAAGAGATAGCTTTTTTCAAACTGGTGGAAATAATTCTAATGTATCTATAAGAGCAACCGTTTTTTGGGATGAATTTGAAAAGAAAGGTTTTAGAGATTCTATAGATACTAATTCAAATCTTTTTAGACTTAGTTCTACCTTGGGACAATCAACAAGTTCTATACCTACTTCCATAGGATCTAGTTCCGAGTTCCCCAATTCCGAGATATTTAATCTTGAAGTAACCAGTATTGAAGTCGCAAATACTGAAGTAAATAATACTGAAGTAAATAATACTGAAGTAACTAGTATTAAAGTAGCAAATACTGAAGTAAATAATACTAAAGTAGCAAATACTGAAGTAAATAATACTAAAGTAACAAATACTGAAGTTGAAAATACTGAAGTAGAAAATACTGAAATAGCAATTTCTGATATCAATAAACCACGATCTTTACACCGAGAAATACAAACTCAACCCCGAAAAAGAATTCAACCTAAAAACCGACAAGAAATACGTAAAAATAAGTTTTTTAGAAAGACTTTTTGCTTTTTATGTATACGACCGGGTTCGACAGTATCTGGATTTTCTGTTACATTAGAAAGTTCAGAAGAAGAACAAGATGCTTCAAAAGAATTTCCTTTAAATTCTCAAGTGACTATTGAACCTATTAACAATAATTTCCCATACATGTGGGTCGAATCTAATGTTAATGAGAGAAATGAAAAGGAACCATGGGAATGGGTCTTTGTTGAACCTCGAGATGAGAGGCATGAAGCTGAATGGATAGTATTTGAAGACAAATCAAAATTCCTTGCAGAACGAGAAAAGGAATCTGTAAAACGTAAAACACGTAAAAGGTCTATTCTAAAAGTAATTAGTGAAAATTTGCCATGGTCAAAATCTAATCGTCATAAAAGATCAAATTCAATAGAATTTACACCTCAAGAACAAGATGATGATTATTATGATGATGACGATGATGATATGATAGGACCTAACAAATTTATTAATAACATGCAAACACCAATTCGTCCTAATCGATTTGAAAAAGATAATGGTGAAGGTTCGGCTCTAATATCACATGACGAATATTATCCTCAAGATATTTATGATGATTATATAGAAGATGAAGATACTATACTTCCTTATTCAAAACCAAACGATGATATATTCACATATGATGAGCCACCTTCACCAAATATTAATAACATTTTTTTCATAGGTAATAATTCCACTTCATCTTTAGCATATAATCAAGAACAATATCATGAACAATCATATGTATTAGCTAGTAGAAGAATTTTACAACAAACACCATATTCACAATATAATAATTATCATACTTAATATGAAAAAGGGAAATTTTATCTTTTATTAGAATTTTTATTTTTTTATTTTTTAGAATTCGGATTTGTAGATAATTTTTTAGATATTACAGTGCAGTATATTATTATTGTAGGAATCTTTTGATTTGGGTACTATATTTGAATCTTTGATTTGGGTGCATACACGTGTTATCAGTTATAGGGTAGAATAAACTAGTTAATACATATTTAGCGTTCAATTTTTAATCACAAACACATTCATTCATTTTTTTTTTTTTTTTTTTTTTCTTTTTTAATCCTAATATGTAAATCTAAATATACGTTCTTTTTGTTATTTTTATCATCATCTTTAATATTGGTTCTCTGTTACTTATTAATTAATAAACTTAGTACCACCCATATTATTTATTAAAATCGTTATCAGGTATATCGAAAGTTTCTGGAAATTTATTTTTTAGCATTTAATTGGATTTTTACAATATTACTACAATACCTACTATTAGTTCTCATCTGTATGCATACGTTAAATAACGTATGTAAATAAGGTTTAAGGTTACATCACAGTAAAATTTTATTATATAATAAAGTTTTCTCATTGCATAAAATATTAATAATAAAAAAAAAAACTAGTTAAAATCTTGTTTCAAAAACCATTAAAGCAAAAAGTTATCTATTATTATAAACAACATCGAAAAAACCAATTAAAAATGTTTTTATCGTTATACGTATCGGTATATGGTAATCCCTACATTACCTGTTACCGATACGTAGTTTAAAAAAAAACTTAAATGCATAAAATAAATCAATTATATAAACGTGTACTAATATACATAAATGAAATAATACAAATAAAAAAGTAAATTTACAAATTAAAAAAATGTTCGTTATTGTGCAATGATTATACAATTATATAATACACGTGACTATTGATCTTTATGTCACAAACTCATTGAACGAATTCTCAAACTTCCACTAATATTAGACCTTCCAACTATTCTCTCAGCCATTCCACCTCTTTGTTGTTCAGTAGGTAATCCTTTATATGTATATCCAACAAATGCCAACGCTTTTCTCATATTTAATATATCTTTACCATGTCGTTTATCTCTTAACATAGGATCTTTTGGTCTTCTTTCACCTTCAGCAGGTGCTAATGGATTATCATCAATATTTTCTTCAAAATATTTAGTATCTATTTCATCTTTTAATTGAGGTACGAATGGAGGTGTCATCTTATGAAGATTATCCCAATCAATACCTTTAAACCATGGATGAGCTTTAATATCTGATGCATCGCCTAAACCCATTGTAGATTTCCTATTTGTAAGGTAGAGTCCATTTGGTTTAATTGTAGATTTTGTAAAACCAGAACTAAGTCGATTTTCCTTTTCACAAATTAATCTTCTCATTAAGTCTTGAGCTATACATATATATAATTAATTTAATAATTAATTTAATATTTAATTTAATTTAATTTAATTTAATGAATGTTTGTAACTTTATGATGAAAATAAATTAATTTTACCATCACGAGAAACACGAGGTCCATGAGGAAATTTCAAGCTATTTTGCCAATCAAGAATTTTTAGACGTGTTGTATTTCGAGTTTTGGAGCAAAATGGTGGATATCCATATAACATTTCATAAATAATTACCTAATAATAATGTAATAATAATGTATGATTTGTTATTCAATTATCAATTTTTTTTTTCTTTTTTTGCCATTACGATTAAAATTACTTACTCCAAGGCTCCACCTACGTGCATAATTATGTTAATATATATATATATATAATTTACATATAAATTAACCTAGGTAAATACTTACCAGTCACAACCTCTACCGTAACCCGAACCTCTTAAAACTTCAGGAGCCATATAATTATTTGTTCCAACAACCGAATAAGCCATAATTTTACGATGTTTATCTCTCCAACTTAAGATACGAATTTTAGGAACATCATCATCAGAATTATTATCATCATCATCAACTGTCCATTTATTTAACCATTTTGAAGTTTGATATTTTTTTCCCATTAACCTTGAAAGTGTATCAGTTTCAACATCAACTCCAGTTTTACGTAAAAGATCTCGACGTTGTTGATCATAATATGCTGAATCATGAGCCCAATGAAAATCTGTTGCTAATCCAAAATCTGAAAGTTTTATATGCCCATCCCGATCAAAAAGAAAGTTATCAGGCTAAAAATAAAATATTATTATTTTTTAGTAATTACCGTAGTTAATAATTATTAAATATATTAAATATTATAATTAATTAATTAATATAATTTTTCACAATAATATATATATATATACCTTTATATCACGATGAATGTAACCCATTTTATGAGCTTCTTCAATACATAACACCATTTCAGCAACATAAAATTTAGCAAAATTTTCAGGAAAAATATCTTTTTCAATAAGTAAATTTAATAAATCACCACCAGGCATATATTCCATAACAAGGTATAAATGATCAGCGTCTTGGAAAGAATAAATTAATTTTATTATCCACCTAGCAGATTCTGAAGCAGCAGTTAATAAATCTCTTTCAGCACGTACATGACCTTCTTGACCTTTTTTTAACATATCAGCTTTTCTCATTATTTTCATTGCATATAATATACCAGTATTTTTTTCACGAATAAGTTTAACAACTCCAAAAGCACCATGACCAATTGTTTTAATAATTTGAAAAGCATTAATAGTAATTTTTTTACGTAAAATACGCATATAATCAGATTCTAAAGTAAGCCATTCTTGTCTAATTACATGTTTATCTTTATCAGAAATAGTCATATTTTCAAGTTCTGATTCAAGTTGTAAACGTCTTTTAAGACGTTCTGATGGTTTTTTAAGTATACCATAAAAATAATTTTCAAAATATACTTTAGCTGAAACTGATTTTTCAATTGTTTCCAAAGATGGAACAATATTTTGTAATGAAAGGTCAATATATTGTTGATTTGAAATTTCTGAATTCTTGATTATAATAGTTCCTGTACTATTTGTGTGTACACCACCAGATGATATATTACCGTCTTTTTTTTTTTAAAAATAATTGTAATAAGAAAAAATTAACAAAATTTTTATGTGAATAACAATTAAATAGAAAATATTGTGAAGTCTCAATGGATATTTACCGGGATATTTACCAAACAATTTAGGATTTTCACCCCATAATAATATCTCTTGAGCTTGTTCTTCACTTTCAGCATGAAAGATATGCCTAACAAATTAATAAAAATAATATATATATATTTTTTTAAAAAAAAATATTTTCAGAAATCTAATTTTAATATACATATACAATTAGAATACATACTCAAAATCAGCAGGAGATGATATATCCTCTTTATTAAAACGTCGTTTCATAAAAGTACCGAATTGTATAGGAACTAATCCCAATTAGATATGTTAATTAAACAATGAATTTTACATTCCTTTATTTTTTTTTTATTCGATCTTTTTTTTTTTTTAAAAAAAAAAAACGTAGCAAAAAATTTACTACCATTCATCCTCGAAGCAACATAATCGAGAATTTCATAAAACCTTGGAGAAGTTATACTATTTCGTTTATTACCTGGTGGTGATTTTGCTCGTGGTTGAGTACCACCATTTGCTATCACTGATTTTCTTTTAAACATAATTCTTTCTTTTTTTTTAATTTTGCTTTAAAAAAATTATTATTTTTTAGAAAAAAAAAAAAAATAATCGTAATAGGAAAAAAAAAGATAATTTTAGGAGAATCCTAAAATCCTCCTATTAAATGAAGATTTTTGTATCACTCAAAATAGAAATCAGGGGAATTTTTAAACGCGGAGTAAAATAGTTACGTAGTTTGGTCATAATTTTCTATTTAATTAAAGTTTATTCGTTAATAGATAGAAAATTTTAGGGAGATTATTTTTAAAATTTTTTGTGAGTAACTCGAAAGTGTGAATGTATATAAATTTTGTATTACTAGTAAATGATTACTGTATTACAAAGTCTTAGTCTCATGTAAATTTAATACTAATTTGAATACTTAGAATCTAACTTGTAATCATTAACGATTAATTACACAAAGTGATTTTTTTGTTATAAAATTTTTAATTAGAAACTTTTACAATATCAAGAATTTTTATTCGAGAGTCGTCATTTGCGATATCGATAATTTATTTTTGCTCAAAAAAATTTTTCATATGTAACTAATTATGGAAAGGGGGTATCAATTTGGTAATTTTATTACTAAAACATTTATGATAACTCCGTGTGACCCGTGATGAATCAACTGATCTTAAAAAAAAAAACCAATTACCGAATTTATCATAAAAATTCAAGTATTCTTTTTTTCTAATGTCAAAAATTAAAATTGATCGTACAAAAGATGTTCAAATAGATGAAGATGTTAATTTTGAATCATTAATTACAAATCAAAATATATTACGTGGATTATTAGAAGCAGGTTATGATCGTCCTTCACCAATTCAATTAAAAGCTTTACCTCCAGGAAAACTTGGTCTTGATGTTATAGCTCAAGCAAAATCGGGAACTGGAAAAACTATAGTTTTTGGTGTTATCGCTTTAGAAATGTTGGATCTAAATAATAATCGACCTCAGGTTTTAATAATATTTATATATAATTTAATGTATTATTTAGTGTTTCGGGTGAAACTATTTTTAAGTTTCGCCCCTATAATTTTGATAAGTTTCACCCGAAAACACTAGTATTTATTATCATAAATTTAACTAATTTACAATTATTTGAATAAAAAAAATAAAGGCATTAATTTTAGCACCTACTAGAGAAATAGCTGTACAAATAAAAGAAGTCATTTCCAACATTGGTCGTTATATGATTGGTTTAGTTTGTCACGCATTTATTGGAGGAATTCCTGTTGAAGAAGATATACCAAAACTTAAGAAATGTCATATAGCAATTGGTTCTCCTGGTAATTATACATAATCTGGATTAAATAAAAATTAAGTAAAAATTAATCATATTTTTCATGTCAGGTCGGATTGGTCTTTTATTAAACAAACAAATGGTATCTAAAGACATAAAGTTACTCGTATTAGATGAAGCTGATAAATTGATGGAGAGCAATTTTGTTCCTCAATTAAAGTATTATATTAATTATGTTAATTTATTTATTTATTTGAATTGATTAATTATATTTTTTAATTATTTTATTTATCAAATTAAAATAGAAAAATCAATGATAAACTTTCAAAAACTAAACAAGTACTTGCATTTTCTGCAACATATGACAAGGTTTTACTAAAAACCCTTGAAAATTTTGTTTGTAATCCTTATTATATTATGATTTCGGAAGATACTCCAGCTTTAGAAGGTATTTTATTGACTACTTTTTGCTTCCAATTACCATTTTATATTAATACAATTAAATAATTATTATAATATTGTAGGTGTATTACAATATTATCAAATAGTAAATAGTCCAAATACAGTTAATATTACTGAAAGATTCAAGTTTTATGAAGAAAAATTTAAAATGATGGTTGATCTTTTGAGTCGTGTTCCGTTCTATCAATGCATTGTTTTTTTGAATCATCGTGGAAGGTGTTTATTTCTAAGCTCTCCTCGGCATATAGGTTTGTTTGGTATATTAATGTGATTTATTTTTATCTATATAATTATATAGGGCTGTTGATCTGGCAAATTATTTAACAAGTCAAGGATGGATGGCAATGAATATATCAGGCATGATGGTGTGAATTTTTATTTTATTTCATTTATAATTTGCAAAATGTTTACATACATACACATATATATATATGCATAGGTGGATTGGATCAACGCATGCGTCTTGAAACCATGTCGAAAGCTCGTAATTTTCAAATAAGAGTCCTTGTTTGTAGTGATTTGGTACGCTTTATTTTGTATGGTTACATTTCATTCATTAATATGTTTTGCTTATTTTATAATTTTTATTTAAAAGATTGCTAGAGGTATTGACATTGAAAGAGTAAATTTGGTAGTAAACATTGACATGCCAAAGGATACTGAAACTTACTTACATCGTGTTGGTAGAACTGGGCGTTACGGTAATTATATATATATTTCCATTATTTATTTATGATGATAATATTTATTAAATATTTTTATTTTATAGGAACTCACGGTCTAGCAATTAGTTTTGTTGATATTAATGAGCTGGATTTTATAGAATCTTTAAAAACAAATTATCAAATTGATATTCAACCTCTTCCCGGTAATTTTTTATTTATTTATTTATTTATTTTACTTTTGATATAATTATATATATAGTTTTAAAAAAAAATTTTTTTTAATTTTGATTTAGATGAAATTTCATATAAGCATCATCAAAGACCATTAACAACTGAAAATGATCAAGAAGCATATGAAAATTTGTTAAATATGAGAGAAACAATAAAAGTATGAATTTCAATAAATTATTTTCAAATTATACATATTATCTATTTCCTAACATTATAATTTAATTAAAATTATTAGACTCAAATTCCTGAAGCTCCTCCGGTTATATTTTCTGATGACACAAATTCAAATAACAGGACGTATAATATCAATAATTTGGTTACTTGTGATAATAGTAAATATTATTATGATAACAATGTGGTCACTTGTTATAATAATGAATATTATTATGATAATAATGTGGTCACTTATGATACTAATGAATATTATTACGATAACAATGATGATTTTATACCACCTGATCTTGCATTTTAACTGTCTAAATGTATCTTAATATTGTTAAATTTACATTTTTGGACATTTAATATAATTTTTACTTTCAAGTGATTTACATAATTACACAGTATTTAAAACCAACCTAAACATTTACCTTCTGTTTAATACGGGTAAAGTTGCAAGTACATAATGCAAAATTATAGAAATATTTAGTAAATATCTTTTATTATTGGCAAATAAAATCTGCAAGTATTAGTTCTCGGACGCGTCAAAATAACGCGATCAATTAAATGATACGAGTATTTTCGGCAAATGCATATTATTGTACTCAATATGTTATAAAAAAAAAAAAAAAAAAGTTTTCTGTATACTACTATCATAATTGCCCTTATATTATTTACAGGAACTTTGATATTCAAGAATCGTTTGTTTTTTTTTTTTTTTAACTCTAATATAATTTATCACCTTATTTAAAAAATTAATATCATAATTTAGATTTTGTTGCTATTTTAAATTTAATAAATTTAACTCGGATTCTAACTCTATGATTGCGTTTCATCTGATTTTGAGTTAGTCTTATGTCATTTTTCTTGTGTTCGTTTTTAACGTGTTTGCAGATCTCAAACAATTCAAAAAAGGATATTTAAGAATCACTTTTTTCTTACAAGTTTTTCATACTTTACAAATTTCACTTTACATTTCACATCTAAAAATGAATGTTTTCTTATCTAAAAAAATGAAAATCATAAAATAGAAAAGACTAAATACTTGAAAATGACGAATTTTCTGGGTAAACATTTGCAAATTATGGTACCTCTCATCCTTCAAATAGAAATCTTATTAATAAATAAAAAAGATTAATTGCCTACTTATCGATGTTTCGTGAACGTATTTTCCATGTGATTCCAGCATATGAGAATCCATCTCGTTTTCTTGCTTCTGCTGTTTTTGATGTCTCTCCCATTCCTGGAGCTTTTTTTTTTTAATTTAGAAGTCCCGTATATTTCAACTTGGTAAGCTTTCTCAAATTATATTATCAAAAATACAATGTTAGTATTCATGTTTTATGTATAATTTAAAGGAAGCTATCCTTGAGAAAACTAAAAATCTTTGATTTCGTTGATTCAAAGTTTCTTGATTTTCACAATCAACAAATGCAAAAATTAAGGACGTATAGGTGAGCCCCACAACTCGACTTATTAAAATATATACTGATAATAGTCAAATTAACATACCGCAACAGTTTTCGGGTGGTAGGTTTATATATATATATATATATATTCGGTTGATATAATGTTTTTTAATTGTTTACTTATTTGTATATACTGAAATAGTTTAATATCCAAGACCTCAGAACAATGTATTTCATACGACAGACCCATTATGCAAATATACATCATAAAACACATATTATGCACAAAATAAGAAGACTATTGACAAATTGACAAATATATTTTGATCGCGATTGGATAAGAAATACAATTTGTCTTGATCTGCCAAAAGACATCCGTAAGCTGCAAGAATATTAACATTAATTTATTATTATTCACAGTTGAAAAATAAAAAATGTAGATCGATCGCGACAGCCTCATGCGGGTAAGGGGCATGGTGTTTGGACGCGACGTTAAAGTAGGAGAAAGGAAGGAGAGGTTTCTAAAATCTTTACTCGTAATGTAGGATTAGTACAAAATCATTTCAATTCTACCAAATTCAATATTTTAAATTTTAGGATAGATGATATTAACTAGGTTTATTCCATTTGAAGCAAATTTAAATTATTTTAAACCTGTATTTTAAGAAATAATAACCAAATTTATTATTTATTCAAACCAGATTTTGGTTCTTTTGTTCATTTAAACATAAAATACATTTATATAGCGATTAAAAATTTAAAAAATGTATATAAGTTATGTTTATGTAATTAAATCTTATTTTTAAAAAAAATTACATGCTTTTTTAATAATAAATAATTTAAAACTACGTCCCTCCAAAAAAAAAATTACTTTCATTACAAACCTTTCATTATAAACATTAAAATGATGCTTTTTAACTGAAAAAAAAAAATAATACATAATAGTACAATATTCATTCAAGAAAAATTTATCAACAATATATAAATCTTATCTATTTTAAATTTAATATCTTTATTAAAATAAAAATTTATTGATACCCTCCATATGGATTTTGACCTTGTGGATGACCATGCGGATAAGTTTGCGAAGGATGACCTTGCGGATTACCCTGTGGATTATCCTGTGGAGGATAACCTTGTGAATCACCTTGTGGTGGGTAACCTTGTGGTGGATAACCTTGTGAATCACCTTGTGGTGGGTAACCTTGTGGCGGATAACCTTGTGGTGGATAACCTTGTGGTGGATAACCTTGTGGTGGGTAACCTTGTGGTGGGTAACCTTGTGGTGGGTAACCTTGTGGATGATAACCATATTGTTGTTGATAATCAACTGGTGCTGGTACTGGAATTGGCATATTATAGTCAGTTTGTTCCTGTTCAGGTATTCCACCAAGTTGCCCGGAAGAATATTGCTGTGAGTAATGACCACCTGTTGTACTATCAACAGAAGATGGACGTAAAATTGGTTGAGAACTACTAACACTATAATATGATGCATGTTGACTTGGTGGTGGAGTTGATGTTCCTGGAGAAACACCATATGAGCTCGGTTGTACCGGTGGAGAAGTTGGTTGATTAGGATAATATTGACTGTGCTGATCAAAAGGAGGTACACCACCACCAAAGTATTGTCCAGGTTGCCCACTATTATACCCTGTAGGCTGAACCACTTCCGTGTTTGTGTCAGCTGCAGGGACAGGTTCAGGAGGATTATGATGGTGATGCTCCATTTCAGGAGGAGGTTCACTATCCAATTTTGGGTGACTTTTACTTTTGTGCCAATATAACCAGATAGCCGCACCTATTAACATTATACCAACCAAGGCTATAATTACGCCAATAAGAACCCTTTTCGCTGTACCCGCAGACGAATCTGAACCTAAAGTTGGACTATTAAATTTTTTTTTTTTTTAATGAAAATCTTGAAAGCATAAATTACAGAAATAGAGATAATAAACAGTAACCAACCCAGCATTAGTAAACGTTATGCCCAATTTTTTGCATGCTGATTGAAAATCAGACAAGTTAGCAACTTGAACGTTTCCAATATCATTAGCGCGATAACAAACTAAGCAACTTGTAAGATTTCGATAATATTGCGTATTGCATTGACAACGCCCCAGTGTTGTATCTTTAAAAACAAGTAAACGATTAGTAAATTATTTAATTGAAACATTATTTAAGTAAAGATTTTGAACTAACCTTTTACTGATATAATTGTAGTAGTAGAATTTTTCGTATTTACTGGTATTGTAAGCGATCCACCGCAAACACTCAACGATTTATTAGCAATGAGACAAGGATCATTAATTGGGTCACCACAAGTATTACTAGTACTATTAGTACTATTAGTACTATTAGTACTATTACTCTGGCCAAGAACAGCCGAGCATCCCAAAAGTATTAAATATATTAAAATAAACGTTTTAAATGATAGCATCTTGGAGACATTAATAAAAAAAGCGAATTAGTAAGAAAGCGACTTAACAAATAGAATTAACATGTAAAAAAATCAATTATACTCTTTTAATAAACTCAAAATTACCTTTGATAACCTCTAGTTGATAAAATATCATAAAAAAAAAATTATCAACGAGACTTATGGCTACGTAAATGAAATAGTAATTTTTTTTGGGTGTAAAACAACCTTTTTATTGTAAACAATATATATATCACAAAGTTATGATATCATCAAATGTTTGCAGCCTATGTTTAAATTCGTACGTATAGTAACATACATAAGGTGATACAGAAATATTCAATCCATAATGAGTAAGTAAAAATAAACCCTTACTTCTTTAACTTTTTAAATGTGCAATAAAATTAAGTTCTCTGGAATTAAAAAATTATTAAGCATTTAAAGACACCATTTTTGCAAGTTACAAACTGTTTGTAAGTACATACGTACATGCGTACCTGTGTAAAGTCAAAAGTTCTTCTGCAAAAATGACTATTTACGATCATCCGATTTATATTCATGATTTATTACCTGATTTTTATCTTTGGCATGTTTTTTTTAAAAAAAGAAAATTTTATATCGTAATTACCAAAAAGTTATCGGATATTTACTAAATTCTCAATTGCAACATTGTACAAACCAAAAAAAAAAACAAGGTATACATTCATCTTTAGCCAGAGAGGCTTCCATCTTATGAGATCCTATTATTTTAAGCTCGGAATTGATTTTCAAAACACTCTAAAATATACATAATCGAAAAAATAACCTACAAACATATTTGTTTCTTTAAATTTATCCTGTGGCTCAGATAAACACCATTTATTTGATCGATCACCAACATTTACTAAGCCTCTCGGTCATCGCCTCGCAAAGCCTCTTTAGTCTCGTTATTACGTAATATTTTTTTCGTAATTTAAATGCGAGTTGAGCTAAAGTTCGAAAATTATTATTTATTTCTAAAAAAAAAAAAACTTCGTTCAATAAATATCTTTATATGTATTACAAGTTTTTTACTAATGCACGAAAAAGTTTATAATTTATCACATTTATGAGATTAAAATTATTCATTTATCTGAAAGCTCCACATGATGTATGTGAAGCTAATTAAATTACATATACAAAAAGATTTAAACATAATAGATAAGTTATAATTAGTTATTTCTTGGCTTGACATTTGATCTCAATTTTTGCATTAAACAATAATAGTTTAATGTTATTGTGGTACGGAACTTTATTTTTTGCCCAACATTCAAAAACAAAAAAAATGTTAGTGTAACAATAACAGTCAGTTGGATGTCACGCAGATCAGTGGGGTGGGGTGATTTTTTTACTTTGAGTGATCATATATATATGTGAAATCCCCTTTTCATAGTTAATTGCAACGGTGATCTGTTTTTAATCCCAAGTTTCAAAGGTTTAATAAAAGACAACTGCACTCAGGAGATATAGTGCAACGACTTAGAAAATTATATACTACGTTGTGGTTAAGTTTAAAATAAGATAGATGCTTCTAAAGATAGCTTTTTGTTTATATTTTATAGTACTAGCGGTATAATAGAGTTTTACATTTCATTGATTTACAAAGGTTTTTATGTAACATATAAAAGTTAGACGACACCTAGAAGGTTTCACCATGACGAAAGGTGAAACCTAGTTTCACTTTTCGTCAAAAAAATTTTGAAATGGTGAAGCAGCGAAACTGACGAAACTGACGAAACTAACAAAAGGTGACGAAATTAGTAAAAGGTAATGAAACTAATAAAAGTTGACAAAACTAAAAAAAAGTGATGAAACTACTAAAAAGTAATAAAACTAATAAAAGTTACAAGATTTATATAAAATATATATTATGTACTAAGTTGATATGAGTGCGTGAGAGTGAAAACCTGGAAACCGATCATAGTAAATCATTAAATCAGTTTCCAGGTTTTCACTCTCACGCACTCATATACTACTGTAACTAAATAGATAGATTAGACAATTATATATAAGAATATTTTTTTTGTTTTATGTTTAGAGCTAAATCGACTTCTAGCTCCTCATATAGTGGTAAATGAAAGAGATCCTGCTAAGTATTGTAATGATCTTCTGATAATAACATATGTAATTAGTAAAATAGAGTACTTGGATAAAAAAAAAAAAAAATTTGTTTTGGCTATATATTGTGTGTTATAAGAATGTGATAATAATTAGAATTTACAAAAAGAGTAATATTAGTAGTAAAAAATATTAAAGAAATAAAAAGTTGAGTTAAAAAAATAAAAAAAATAGAAGTTTCTTTTTTTTTTTTATTAAGGTAACTTATATTGCCAAAGGTATTTTATTGGTTTTTTTTTTTTTTTTTTTGAAAGAAAAAAGTCTTGCTTTAGTTTTTATTCAGATATTAATATTCATTACATCGTAATTTGTATAAAGATGTATACTATCTATCTACTTTAAACTAGAAACTAGAACTACTTTACTTTTAGCCTAGACTCTTTTAACTAAAAGAGATCAAAGCCTCATCTAGTCTGTTATATATGCAAGCATATCTCATGATGAGTTAGAAATAATAAACATTTTTAACCAGATTACTAATTTATCTTCAATATGCTAAGATCTTAGTATTGTAAATTTTGGATTTTCTGAAACTTTGTTATAGTTTTAGTTTTTTTATGTATTCTCTGTATGTAGAGATATTTTGTTTGAATTATACTATTCTTAATATTTGCAGGTCCAGACTTTGTAGTAAAGTTTTTTTTGAATCTTGTAGAATAGTTTGCTAGACTTTGCTTACTATTAGTTGAAGTTAGTAATTTTGATATAGCTTTAAAGATGAAGCTATAAGCAGTTGTAATAAAGCTAGTTTCTAAACCTTCTGTATTATATAAGGTATTTGAAAATATAGTTTCTTAGATCTCTTGAATAATATGTAAGTATATATCTTCATCTAGTATTGATTAGATACTTTTGTTTATAATTTGTTCTAATAAGATAATATTTTTTTAACATACAATCTAGTATTAGTTATCCTCTAATACTTCGTTATATTTTTTATCCCTTAATTTGTAATACAGGCAAATTTGCTTGCATTTACTTTTAATTTTTATAATTTTTAAAATAAAACTTTAAATATTAATTTTAAATATATACTTTCTAAGTAAAATATAT